ATCTGGGCCCCCAGCTTCCATACTCTGAGGTGCCAGCCCCACAGGGGAGTTGCTTAATGACCTTGTGAACAGTAATTACACCCCAGGGCCCGCTCTTAATAACCACGTATTCTCCCTGTCAATGTGCCTTAATTGAAAATGAGTAGGCGATACAGTTGCTGTGAAGTTGGCTGACAAGTCCTTAACGTGATATTAATTGTAGTAATTAGTAGTCACTTTGTGTTGGAGTCATCTATAAATAGGGGGTCTATTAGTTTAGCAAAAGAGCATGATTTAAAATGCAAATAAAAGCCCAATCACACAGATATATCATCCGTCTTTCCCAGCAAATGAAGGGGAGGGAACACTGCAGCCACTCTGAGAATACATTGGTCAAACACCACTTGAGTGGCCCATTTGGGACACTGTCCCTTTAAACACGTTTGCCAGGGCTCCCTCAGGGGCTGTCACTCTTGGAGAGTCCTGTCCACTCTTTACTGTCACAACTGGTGGTCAGGCCCCCAAATAGTTCCTCCCCCTGTCTGCTGATTGGTTCCCTCTAGTAACACAGGAGCACTTTTTAAAGGGACAGTAGAACAATGTATCTCTAAGGTACATTAGAGAGGGCTCCTCTTTTGAATGCAGCTCTTCATAGTCCAGAGAAAGTGAACCCATTGACACCATGTGCTGTCTTGTGACCCAAATGTGTTAAAAACAAAAAACAAAAAACAGACCCACGACATTGTTCTTGGGGGTGAACAACTTACTCTCCACTCCTTACTTCCTCCCACAAAACACTTATAGCAGTTACAGGAGGAACACACACAAGCCACACACACACAACACAGAGTATTTCTCACAGATTTTGGGCAAACATTGGAGGTGGAAATGACTGAAAACAGAAGGTAGCAGCTAAGGAGGTGTTTAGAGGTCTCAGCTTCAAGGCCAAAGGGGGGGTTGCCTAGTTCAGCCTTTATCCAGCACCTTCTCCCACGCCCCTAATTCCAATCTCACAATTAGGAATTCTGCTGAGATGCGCCTGGAGACATGGGTGCTAGTCCTTCCGTCCCAGGTCCGTGGAGCTACCGCAGTCCCAATCTGAGCTCTCCTCACACCCTCTGCCACCTGCCACCAGCCCCTTCCCCTCCCCAGAGCCTGTCCTGCCTTGTGGACAATTGAGGTTTGTGCTGTCACGGTATTTGCATTTTAATGAGTCAAAACCATAAGATAAAGGAGCCATCCCCAAGAACAGTAATTGTCCACTTCGGCAGGACTTTTCATTATTACCAAAGAAATGAGAGGACCAGATGATTTGAGAGTATCCCCCTTTAATTTATCCTCTATTTTATTATCCTTTTATAACACAATGCTTACAACAGGTGGTAGTACTTGAGATTTTTAATGTCCTATCTGACAAAATAAAATATTGGCAACCCTATGTGGATCCTAAAAATCGTTTTTAGAAATTTTTCCAGGGCATAACATACAAACGTCTGGGAGCTACTGAGCTAAAACACTGAATCAAGGACTTGAGGCCAGATGAGTCAGCTGTGTGTGGGGAGAGGGGAAGCGGGGACAGTGAAATAGGGACATTATCAGCAGAGATTTCCCTCTCTCTGAAGTAGCACAGGAAGACAGCTAGAAAATGGATGAGGACCTGGAAGGAGGCCCAGGCACTGTTCCATCTGCTCTCCCTATATTACAGATGAGGAAACTGAGGCCCAAGGAGCAAAAATAATTGAGCCAAGCCACATGCTGAGTCAGGGGTCTAGGCTCTGTCCATTACACACTGAGGGCACCTCTTACCTTTCCCCATCAGCTCTTTGTCAGTGCGCTGGTCCTCCAGCACGTATCAGAATAGATGTCCTAGGATGGGTTGAGAAGTTGAAAGTCTACCTTTTCTTCAAACAGGGACGGTTTATTTATACCCAAATGTAGAAAACGGCCTGGCTGTTGATCAAACCAAGAATTTCCTGAAGGAACAAAGATGATGCACAGAAGAGCACACAGACAAGGCTACTCTGGGCCAGTCTCTGAGCGATGGTGCTTCCCTACCAGTGACAGTTTATCAGTTTTAATCTTCCCACCTTCTAGGTAGGAACTGAGATCTCTGTCACTGAACCACTCTACTTCTTAGTGGCGCTCAAACCTGGACTGGCCTCTGCTTCCCCACCCTCTCCTCCAAACTGCTCAATGCCAACCCAAACCCTCTAAGAGGTCCCTCTCAGCACCCTCTTTTCGAGGAGCTGCAGAGGTCCTTAGGGTGTGTTTCCCTTTGCTGTGGCTAGCTAAATTAATCAAACTTTTTTGATTACAGGTGTGTTCTCTGTGGTATTTGGTTGTTGGGCTTTAAACATCCAACAAATACTTAAACTGCAGTGTTCCAGACAATGTAATGTGAAGAAAAGCAATGAATATAAAAACTGTGTGTCTTAAGCATAGACATGTAACATGATCAATGGAGTAGAATTGAAAGTCCAGAAATAAAATGTGTCCATGGTCAACTGATTTTCCATAAGGGAGTCAAGACCATTCAATGGGAAGAAAGAATCATCTTTTCAACAAATGGCGATGGGACAACTGGATAGCCTCATACACAAGAATGAAGTTGGACCTTTACCTCACATCATATACAAAAATTAACTCAAAATGGATCAAAGACCTAAATGTAAGGGCTAAAACTATAAAATTCTTAGAACTAAATATTTGACAATGGATTTTTGGCACCAAAAGCTCAAGCAACAAAAGAAAAATAAATTTAACTTTATGAAAATTAAAAATGTGTGTGTTTCAGAGGATACTATCAAGAAAGTGAAAATACAACCCATACAAAAGGAAAAAATATTTGCAGATCAGCTATCCAATATGGGAATTGTATCTCAAATAAAGAACTCTTACAACTCAATAAAAAGATAACTTTAGTCCTGTGGCTAAATGTGGCTCAGTGGATCGAGTGCCGGCCTGTGAACCAAAGAGTCCTGGGTTTGATTCCCAGTCAGGGCACATGCCTGGGTTGTGGGTTAGGTCCCCAGAAGGAGCCATGCAAGAGGCAACCACACATTGATGTTTCTCTCCCTCTCTTTCTCCTCTCTCTAAAAATAAATAAAAAAGATTTCTTTTTGAAGTCAGATAGATGTTGATGAGGAGGATATGGAGAGACCTAAACCCTCAAATACTTGTGGCAAGAATGTAAAATGATGCAGTCACTTTGGTTTTTAAAATAATTTTATTGATTTTGAGAGAGAGAGAGAGAAAAAATCAATTTGTTGTTCCACTTATTTACGCATTCATTGGTTGATTCTTGTATGTGCCCTTGCCAAGGATCAAACCCACAATCTTGGTGTATTGTGATGAGCTAACCAGCCAGGGTGATACAGCCACTTTGGAAAGTAGTCTGGCACCAAAATTTAAGCAGAGTTGCCATTTGACCGAGCAATTCCACTCCTAGGTACTGTGGACCCTGACAAAGAACAAACCTACTAAGAAGAGCTCCTGATAGCTAACTGAGCTCAAAATTTTAAAAATAAATAAATAAATAGAACAGCCTAGCAATCATTTCTATACGAGGGTCTCTCACACAAACTGCACTTCAAGGAAAAGCCTGCCCTGAACTACCTGCCTCTACACTGAACTGCCTGCCTGAGCTGTGCTCCTGCCATCTGAGCCAGACCTTATAAAGGAGTCCCTGGAATCCTATTTCAACTAATAGGACTGAGACTTTTCCTATCCAATTGGAACTGTGCAGCTATGTCCCCATCAGCATCTTCACTGACCAATCAGAGTGGATCGATTATGACCAACAAGGCAGTGCCTTTTGGACCAATCAAACTGCAAAGATTTGGATTCCTCATTTGCATAAGGATGACAAATCAGGAACCAGGGGCAGGGACTTCTGTCTAAGATGTCTTGCCAAAGCAGAGCAGACCAGCACAGGAGCAGAGCAGAGCAGAGCCATCTAATAAGAGAGGGCCTCCCCGCAGGATCAGCGGGCCCCAGGGCTGCCAAGCAGCCATGCTGTATCACAACTGAGCTATTTGCACTAAATAAAATTTCCTCTTCACCACACCCCAAACTGGGGATTTGTGTTGGCATTGAATTGGTTAACAGTTTATAACCAAGGGAAATAAAAACATATGTCCTCACAAAAACTTGTACACAACTATTTATAGAAGCATTTATAATAGCCAAAGGTGGAAACAACCCAAATGTTTAACTAATAAATAAAGAAAATGTGGTACATTGTAACATGGAATATTATTCAGCCATAAAAAGGAATGGAGTATTGTTCCACACTACAACATGGATGATTCTTGAAAACATCATGCTAAGTGAAGGAAGTCAACCAGAAAAGACCACATATTATGTGATTTATATGAAATGTCCAGAATAGGCAAATCGATAAAGACAAAGTAGATTAGTGGTTGCTTATGGCTGAGGGGAGTCACGGATGGGGGTTTCTTTTCAAGGTGATGAAAATGTTCTAAAATTGACTGTGGTAGTGATTGCACTGACCTGTGAATATAGTAATTCAGTATATTATTGAATTTTACACTTCAAGTGGATGAACTGTATGGTATATAAATTACCATATTTTGCTGTGTACAATGCTCACTGTTTTTGAGGGGAAAATAAGGGCGCGCATTATACATAGGATTACCCCATGTATAATGTGCACAAAACCATGGGTGTGCATTATACATGGCAAAATGTGGTATATCTCAATAAAACTGCTTAAAAGAAAATAGAGCCAGGCCCTCCCCATGGAGGCTCCATTTTAGAGGAGAAGGTTTGCATGAAACAGATCGCCCACAAACCTAGTTTCTAGTTGACATAAGGGTTATAGAGAAACAGAGGGCCAGGAGACAGGCAAGGGGGCTACGGAATAGGTGCCGGCGAAGCTGCTCTGGGGAAATGACTCTTTTAATACCTTTTTTCCTTTACAGCTTTAATGAGTTGTTTTATTTTTCTTTTTTTTAATTTCTGGTCATTAGTTTATTCAACATAAAATAATCCTTCCAACTTTACTGAAGTGGTTGACCATGTCTACAACCAAATCCACCTCTGAACTGGAATTTTGTTGCTGACCCAGCTTGGGCTCCCTTGTTGGCCCCAGGGCGCACAGCACACAGTGCTCTCTGTAAGAGTCTGTCTGCTTCCCCTCCCATGAGTCTTGCAGGTTGCTTGCCCTCCTGACCTCTGGACCTTGGCCTGCCAGTCTCAGGCCCGCTGTGGCACAAAGTGGCAGGCATGATCGCAGGGGGCAGATGAAGGCAATTGCAGAGATACTGGATGCCCTCATTGGTAAGGTACCAGTAGAAATGTCTCCAGAGAAACTGTTCCCTCACATAGTCTCGTGATTTGAGAGACTGCAAGGCCTTCAAGACGTTAAGATTAGGCACATTCTTAACTGCCAGCTTGGGGTGTTTAGGCATGTGCACATCCTTCTTGGCCACCATCACTCCCTCCTTGAAAAGGAGTTCATAAATGGCAATACAGTTCTTCTGAGGCATCAACACCACATCCAGGGCCAGAGATGGAAAGCAATGAGTTATTTTTTATATGTCCAAATTCACCCATTTCAAATGTCCTATTCAGTATTTGGTAAATTTACTGTGTGGTGAAAACTGCCAACCATAATACAGTTTTAGAACATTTCAGTCAACCCAAAAATGCTTCTTAAGCCCAAATACAGTCAATCCCTGTCAATTTCCTGTCACCACTAATCTACTTTGTTTCTATATATTTGCCGTTCCTGGAAGTTTCATAATGGGTCATAATATGATGTTGTAAGTTTAACTTCTTAGTATGTTTTGTAGGGTAGTTGAATGGATTAGAAAACATGACCCACACATATGCTGCCTTTAAGAGACCCACTTCAGAACAAAGGACTTACACAGACTGAAAGTAAAGGGATGGAAAAAAAATATTCCAGGCAAATGGACAGGAAAAAAAAGTCAGGGTAGCAATGCTAATGTCAGACAAAATAGGTTTCAAAACAAAGGAAATAAAAAGAGACACAGAAGAACACTTCATAATACTCAAAGGAAGAATCCATTAAGAAGACATAAACACTGTAAACCTATAGGCACTCAACATAGGAGCACCCAAATATACAAGGAAAATCTTGGACGACTTCAAGAAAGGTATAGACAGCAACACACTTATAGTAAAGGATTTTAACACTCCACTGTCAACAATGGAGAGATCTTCCAAACAAAATACCAATGAAGATATTGTGAAACTGAACGACGCATTAGATCAAATGGACTTAACTGATATATATAGAACCTTTCATCCCAAAGAAGCAAAATACACATTCTTCTCAAATGCACATGGAATATTTTCAAAGATAAACCACATGATAAGACACAAAACAAGCCTCAACAAATTCAAGAAAATTGAAGTCATAACAAGCATTTTCTCTGATCACAAGGGTTTGAAACTAGAAACCAACCTCAAGGAAAAAACTCAAAAACATTCAAACTCATGGAGACTGAATAGCACACTATTAAACAATGAATGGGTCAATAATCAGATCAAAGAAGAATCAAAAAGTTTCTGGAAACAAGTGAAAATGAACACACAACCGTCCAAAACCTATGGGACACAGCAAAGGCAGTCCTGAGAGGGAAGTGCATAGCAATACAGCCCTACCTCAAAAAAACAGAGACATTTCAAATAAACAACCTAACCCTACATCTTCAAGAACTGGAGAAACAACAACAAACAAAGCCCAGAGCAAGTAGAAGAATGGAAATAATTAAGACCAGAGCAGAACTGAATGACATAGAGACTAAAAGAACAATTTAAATGATCAATAAATCCAGGAGCCAGTTCTTTGAAAAGATCAACAAACCAACAAGCCTTTAAGCAGACTTATCAAGAAAAAAAGAGAGAGGACCCAAATAAATAGTATCATAAATGAAAGAGGAGAAATAACGACTGATACTGCAGAAATACAAAGGATTGTAAGAAATTACTATGAACAATTATATGCCAAGAAACTTGAAAACCTTGATGAAATGGACAAATTTCTGGAAAAATATACCTTCCAACACTGAATGAAGAAGCAGAAAGCCTGAACAGAACAATAACAGCTGGTGAAATTGAAGCAGTAATTGAAAAGCTCCCAGCACACAAAAGCCCTGGACCAGACGATTTCACCGGAGAACTTTACAAAACATTTAAGGAAGAGCTAATCCCTGTTGTTCTCAGACTATTCCAAAAAATCCAAGAAGAGAGAAGACCCCCAAACTCTTTTTATGAGGCCAGCATCACCCTAATACCTAAACCAGGTAAAGACACAACAAAGAAAGAAAACTAAAGGCCAATACCACCGTGAACATAGATGCTAAAATCCTCAACAAAATATTGGCAAACCCCATCCAGCAATACATTAAAAAGATCACTCACCATGATCAAGTGGGATTCATCCCAGGGATGCAAGGATGGTTCAATATTCGCAAGTCAATAAATATAATACATCACATAAACAAAAGGAAACACAAAAATCACACAATTATATCAATAGATGTGGAAGAAACATTCAATAAGGTACAGCATCCATTTATGATAAAAACACTCAAGCAAAGTGGGAGTAAAGGGGGCATACCTCAGCATAACAAAGGCCATGTATGAAAAACCTACAGCCAACATCATACCAAATGCGCAAAAACTAAAAGCTTTCCCACTAAGATCAGGAACAAGACAAGGTTGTCTGCTTTTACCACTTCTATTAAACATAGTATTGGAAGTCCTAACCACAGCAGTCACACAAGAAAAAGAAATAAAAGGCATCCAGATTGGAAAGGAGGAAATAAAACTCTCACTGTTTGCAGATGACATGATAGTGTACATAGAAAACCCCATCGACTCCACCAAAAACCTACTCAACTTAATAAGTGAATTTGGCAAAACAGTGGGATACAAAGTCAATATTCAGAGATTGAAGGCACTTTTGTACACCAACAATGAAATATCAGAATCAGAAATCACGGGGGAAAAACCCCATTTGCCATGGCAACAAGAAAAAGTACCTGGGAATAAACTTAACCAAGGAAGTAAAAGACCTGTACTCAGAAAACTACACAACATTGATGAAAGAAATTAAGGAAGACACAAATAAATGGAAGCATATACCATGTTCATGGATTGGAAGAATTAACATCATCAAAATGTCCATACTACCCAAAGCAATTAATAGATTCAATGCAATCCCTATTAAAATACCAATGACATATTTCACAGACATAGAATAAACACTTCAAAAATTTATATGGAACCATAAAAGACCCCAAATACCTGAAGCAATTCTGAGGGAGAACAAAGTTGGAGGGATCACAATACCTGATATCAAAATATATTGCAAGGCCACTGTAATCAAAACAGTCTGGTAGTGGCATAAGAACAAACACAAAATCAATGGAACAGAATAGAGAGCCCAGAAATAAACCTATGTCTCGATGATCAATTAATATTTGACAAAAGGGGCAGAAGAATAAAACGGAGTAAAAATAGCATCGTCAACAAATGGTACTGGAAGATCTGGACAGCTACATTTAAAAAAAAAAATGAAATTTGAGCACCAACTTACACCATACACAAAAATAAACTCAAGATGGATAAAAGACTTAAATAAAAGTCACAACATCATAAAAGTTCTAGAGGAAAACATAGGCAGGAAACTCTCAGATATTCCGTGCAGCAATATTTTCACTGATATGTCCCCTAGAGCAAGGGATATAAAGGAAAGAATAAACGAATTGGACTTCATCAAAATAAGAAGCTTCTACACAGCTAAAGAAGACATCAGCAAAATGAAAAGGGAGCCAACTGTATGGGAAAACATATTTGCCAATGATACCTCGGACAAGGGTTTGATCTCCAAAATATGTAAAGAACTCACACGACTCCACTCCAGGAAGATAAACAGTCCAATTTTAATATGGGCAAAGGACCTGAACAGACACTTCTCCAAGGAAGACGTACACAGGGCCCAGAGACATATGAAAGGATGCTCAGCATCACTAGCCATCAGAGAGATGCAAATTAAAACCACAGAGAGATACCACTTCAAATCAGTCAGAATGGCCATCATAACCAAATCAACAAACAAGTGCTGGTGAGGTTGTGGAGAAAAGGGAACCCTAGTACACTGTCAGTGGGAATGCAGACTGGTGCAGCCACTGTGGAAAACAGTTTGGAATTTCCTCAAAAAGCTAAAAATGGAACTGCCTTTTGACCCAGCAATTCCATTGCTGGGATTATGCCCTAAGAATCCCAAAACACCAATTCAAAAGAACCTATACACCCTAATGTTCATAGCAGGACAATACAATAGCCAAGTATTGGAAACAACTTAAGTGCCCAACAGTAAATGAGTGGACAAAAAAACTATGGTATATTTACACAATGGAATACTATGCAGCAAAAAGGAAGAGGTACTACCCTTCGCAACAGCATGGATGGAACTGGAGGGCGTTATGCTAAGTGAAATAAGCCAAGGGCTGAAAGACAAATACCAGATCTCACCTATAAATGGAACCTAATCAACAAAACAAACGAGCAAGAAAAATATAATCAGCAACATTGAAAGAAAAAACAAACTGACAGTAACAAGAGGGGAGGAGGAAGGAGGGTAACGGGGAAGAGAAGGGGAAAGGTCAAATCAAGGAACACGTATAAAGGACCTATGGACAAAGCCAAAGCGGGGAAGGATTAAGGGTGGAGGTGGGCAGGGCAGGTGAAAGTGGTGGCAGGAAAATGGAGACAAATGTATTTGAACAATAAAAAAGAAAAAAAACTTCTTAGTATGTTTTGAAGGCCCATGTTGTAGCATGTACCAATAGTCCATGACTTTCTTTTGCTGAATAGCACTCCATTGTATGGATAGACCACATATTGTTCATCTGTTCACCAACTGAGAGACAATTAGGTTGCTTCCAATTGTTGGCTATTATGAATAAAGCTGCTGTGAACATTTCACACTCAAGTCTGTGAAAATGTATGTTTTCATTTCTCTTGGGTAGATGCCTGGGAGTACAATTGCTGAGTCATATGTAAATTTAACTTTTTTAAAGATTTTTTTTTCCCAAAGTCTCACCATTTTACCCTCTGTAGGGAATTGACATTTAAGCTGAGACCTAGCAGATGAGAAAGAGCCAGCCTTGCAGTGAGTGAGGAACAGCATTCCCTGCAGGGCAGGCGGAAGGCACATGCCAAGGCCCCAAGGTCTGGGAAGGTAAGAGCTTATCTGGATAGAGGAGCTGGTTCCCTTAGAAAAAATGGGTGAGATTCTTTATATTTAGCTGCAAAAGTACAAAAATGCAAGAACACAAAAAAGAAAGAGTGAGGCCCCAAGGACAGGACGGTATGGGCACTGGGCGTGTGCAGTGAACACGAAACAATAGGAATGTGTATGATGGCTGGGAGCTCAACTGGGGCTGTTGGCAGGACCTGAGCTTCTCACAGCAGGGAGGATGGATTCTAAGAAGTATCTGGGACCAAGCGTTCCAGGAGACCCAGACAGGAGTTG